GTGTGGATTATTTTACATATGCATTGCCAATTATTATAAATCATTTCACATATGTGTATGGCTTATTTTATATGTAAATATAAATGATCACATACGAGTATGGATTATTTTACATATGAATATAAATGTTCACATATGAATGTGGATTATTTTACATATGCGTTCTTAATTATTATAAATCATTTTACATATAAACATACCTTCTTTTACATATGTGTATGGCGTATTTTATATGTAAATATAAATGATCACATATGAATATGGATTATTTTACATACGAATATAAATGTTCACATATGAGTGTGGATTACTTTACATATGCATTCTTAATCATTATAAATCATTTTACATATAAACATACCTTCTTTCACATATGAGTATGGCTTATTTCATATGTAAATATAAGTGATCACATATGAATATGGATTATTTTACATATGCATTCTTAATTATTATAAATAATTTTACATGTGTTTATGCATGAACCTATGTTCGATAAAGAACAACTTCATTTTCTAAAGCTACGAAGTCCCTTCCATAGGCTCATTTTCCAGAATTGATAGGTTATTTTGAAACATTCTGCACACCCTTTAAACGTTCTCTGCATGCAAACGACAGATTACTTTTTTTTGCTCTGTTTCTTTTCCTTCTACTTCCTACAAAACACACTGTGCCATTTCTTCTCTGAAACCCTGCGTCTCGTACGTGTTTCCACGAATAAAATACAAAATAATTGAACGTACGAAAGTAGAAAAATGTTTTTCGTGCAAATCTGACGGTATCAAAGAAAAGCTTCTCAAATGAAAAATTATATTTTCGTTGCAGTAGTAGAAAGCTTATAACTGTGTGCAAAATAAAAGAAAAATAATATATGCGCGTTCCCCTTTTCCATTTACCAACTTTCGTTTCGACATAATGGCACGCGATAACCTGACAATTTTAAAGCCAGTTAAAATATGCCGGAATTATTAAATAGGAGATGGAAACTCCGTGACACGATTTAAATATAATTACCTTTTAATTTTATTATATTCTGGTAGTAGTTTTATTAGTATTAATATGCCAGTATTAATTCTACTGATAATTTAGAATATTAATAGTAATATTAATTATGCAATGCAATAATGATACCTATAATTAATAGCAACATAATATTAATACTAACTCCACTTGTACTACTGATATTAGAAATTGCTGTTAGTAGCATCACTACTTAGTGCCATCACTACTTAGTGCCATTACTAGTTAGTGCCATCACTGCTTAGTGCCATCACTAGTTAGTGCCATCACTACTCAGTACCATCACTGCTTAGTGCCATCACTACCCAGTGCCATCACTGCTTAGTGCCATCACTACTGAGTGCCATTACTAGTTAGTGCCATCACTACTCAGTGCAATCACTAGTTAGTGCCATCACTACTCAATGCCATCACTACCCAGTGCCATCACTACTGAGTGCCATCACAGCTCAGTGCCATCACTAGTTAGTGCCATCACTACTCAGTGCCATCACTACCCAGTGCCATCACTACTGAGTGCCATCACTGCTCAGTGCCATCACTAGTTAGTGCCATCACTGCTCAGTGCGTGCCATCACTGCTTAGTGCCATCACTACTCAGTGCCATCACTGCTTAGTGCCATTACTACTCAGTGCCATCACTACTTAGTGCCATCACTAGTTAGTGCCATCACTGCTCAGTGCCATCACTACTCAATGCCATCACTACTCAGTGCCATCACTACTTCATACCATCACTACTTCATATCATCACAACTCCAAAAAATGTACAAATTTCAATATCCCAAACACGAAAATCCAAACGTTCACAGCTCGCAAATACCACGAGATAAAGTGGATGAAATATTACATGAAATATTTCTTTGTGTTAATTTATCAGCAATATTACGTACATCATCGAGTCGATTATCGTGACAGGGAAATTTTATTGGATTAGCGGAACACGTCCAATTAATCCTGGCAGACAGTCTCTCGTATAATTTTGTCCGTGGATCAATGAGATGAAACGATAATCAGGATCAACGAAATATTGACGGACACCTGGACGATTATTGGCTACGGGATAAACGGGTTAAAGATATCCACCCTGTCGGCCACTCGACACGCTGAAAATACACTCGCGTGCATGCTGATGCGAGCGGAAGCAATTAACGGACCGAGTGCGAAATCGTGTAAGCGATTCTTGAATAAATAACGGACGGAGCTTTCGAGGCTTTTGTTGTCTCGCCCGTAGAACGTTTACGTGTCTTGGAAAAAGTTCCGACGACGGGAAGACAATGGTCACTTGTCTTGCTTACCTCGTTCTTTGGTGTACTTTCAACTTTGTTGTTCGGGAGATAGCGAGGAGTACGATACACAAATTAGAAAGTTAAATTATACGGTACATTTCGTGGAAAGTTTCGGGGAATAGATTTTTTGGGGAGAATAATTTGGTTTACTGTGCTTACTTTGGGGTTAGTTTTGGCGGGAAATTTGAATTTGGTGGGAATTTGTGGGTAATTGCCAAGTTAGAGATGTTGAAACTTTAGTAATATTGTTGTGGTATTGTAGTAAGACTGTATGAGTATTGTATTGGACAAATACTGTAAGAATTACTGTATATACAAGTGTAGCAATTTTGTTGTGATACTATAGTAATACTGTATTAGTACTGTTTTAATAATACAATGATGCTATATAAATATTGTACTAATATTCTGCTGATATGCAAATATTATACTAATACTATATTGACGCTGTGCTAATACAATACTATAACTAAAATAATATACTGAGACTATACTAATTTAATACTAATGCTACACTGACACTAGTCTAGTAGTATAGTAATACTATACTAACACCATATTGAACTAATATGAATCATTAATATTATAGTACTAATACTAGTATCACTATTATTCGTACCAATATTATGATTAGTGTTAGTATTAATTGAGTGTTGCAGTTCTTGTAGTATTACTATTAGTTCCAGTACTAACATCAAATAATAATAACACTAATACCAATGTTATATTATATCTTAGTAAGTTTAATTAGTATATAGTGGTATTAAAGTTAATATTAATACTGACATTAATAGTACACAATTACAATATCGATACATACTACTATTAATATTAATAGTATATTACAACAGTATTAATATTAATAGGACACTAATATAATATTGGTACATACTACTATTAACATTAATAATAATACCACTGCAGTCTTATGTACTACTAGCAATATAAATACTATACTGCAATAGTATTAATATTAATAGCATACTAATGCGATACTGTACAAATACTAGTACTATTAATAATAAGATGATGTCAATACTAATACAAAACAATATCAATACCAACACTAATATAAAACAATACCAATATTAATACTGACACAAAATCTCACAATAAATAACAAAAATAATATTCAGGAACACAAATTTGAATTACGCTTCTACATCCACATTAATATCATCTACAAATATTGTAACAAATATCAACAAAATCATTATTACAAAAATTACACTTATTTTATAAGTCATCACATCTAAAAGAACATACTACTATTACACAACTATACTATACAATAAATTACATAATACTGTACATTATACTATACAAAAATAAAACAAGAAGACAAACTTCATAATATTGAACTTCCTTCCCATTTAAAATGTTTAACAACAGAATTTATCTCGCTTTTGAAAGAAAGTACAATGTATACAACGAGGCAAAAAACTTGATCGATAAAAGGATTGTTAAATTAGTAAGAAAGAGTATAACGAAGGGGGTTGTTACAACCCCCCGGTGAATAGAAGTACGCACGAAGAAACTGTCGATAGAATTTCCGATACGAGAAGGAATCCATAAGTTGGCGTTTTAAGAGACGGAACTGTTGACACGTTCGCGAATGTATCAAGATTGTACTTTGTAGAATATAAATGGACGTGATTCGTGTACACTGCCTCGTGTACACAAGAGCAAGTACAATAGAGACGTTCGATACTATGCACAATTGCGAACCATTCGCAAACATAGATACAACGATGTTGGCCGTGGATAATGGAATAGGTGAACTTTGGTTTTGCATATTCGACAACTTTCAGCAGTTTTTATGCAAACCATGCAGCCATTATTTGACGAGTATTTTACAGAGATTTCTGGGGATTATCTTGGAAATTAACAAAGGATTCTCATGGTTAAAATTTATTATACATAACGTATTATTTATTTAAAAATATTATAAATTTTATATAAAACTTGACAAACACAGAGCACCACATAAACATGTGAACAAATTCACATTCACAACTTACTTAAATTTTAGATACTACAGAAAAGAGAGTACAATTTATTCAACAACTTATCGTCAAAGTACATGTAATTTAAAAAATATATTTTTGTAGTAACATCAATCTCGCATAAATCAATTTCATTTTAGCTTGTATCTTCTGGACGCGACAGATTTTCTCAAGGGAAACCGCTGTCGCGTTCATGACAGCCATAAGATTTCATTTAACGTTACTTAAATGCAAAAACCGTTCTGCTTGTCACGTAAAATAAAAAATGTGAGAGCTTATATAAAGAGGTGATTGTGGAAATGAGGATGAATGAAAGACGGAGAAATTAGATTTTAGCATTTCAATGAAACTGAAGTCCTTACATTTAAAAAATATCAAGTTGTCACATTTTTAATTTTCTATTTTTTGATTATAATATTTTGTGAGAATTTTTTTTCATGACCATCAACATAAAAAACTTTTAAATTATCTGAAATTTAATTACAGAAATTATCACAAAATTTTATAATTATTCACGTGTTAAAATATAAGAAAAATTGATTTGCAAGTCACATCGTCGCAAGGGGTTAATGAGGAAGATAAGAAGTATGAGAAAGATAGGAAGGCGGAAAGATTTGGACCGGGAACGTAAAAGGTGTAGGGTAAGGTACACGTGTAAGGCAGTTTAAGCACAGCAGAGTGATTATTTCTCGTCACTTGGTGGCAATTGGAACGGGATTCATAACCACCGGTGTGCCGTGGTGTGCGAGCCGGGAATGTTGGCTACAGGTGGTCCCGGGCAAATCAATATCGTTCGCGTGTCTCTCGGTGAATACGTGAGTAGTGCTCTGAATGCACCTTCCTAACACGCAGCCTCTGTGATCCCGCCCATAATGATCATCACGATGATATTACACCGCACTAACAGGCATGCGTTACCAAAATTTGCAATTTAGATACTTGCGATATTAATTAGAACTTTCAACATTTTTCCAGTATCAAATTTTGGGAATTTTGAGACAGGAATTAAGAAGAAACATATGTAGAAAAGTGATATATTATTATGTACATAGAGCGCAATGCAACTTTGTCACATTGTAAAAACAATTCCCATAATTTAACATAACAGTGTTAGTTGAAAATTAATTCTTATACTTAACGCTTAGTTTACTATCGTGTTAGCTGTTAGATGATCACATTGGAATATTTTTATAACGATTGATGCTTTGGATCACAGTTGAGATGGCACAGAACATGTATGATTACATCTAACAATTTGAGTAACAATATACAGTAAAAAATGAATATCACAATAATTATAACTATGAAGGAATTCTTCAACAAATTTACCACTTCTTAACCCAGGTATCACAACCAAATACTGTTCTTGATTTTGATTACTTTTGACGTATAAAAATAACAAACACGAGTACTTCACGAACTTCTCTCACAAAATAACATTACAAATTGAAATTGAAGTCCAGCTTCGCAACGAAGAACTTTCCAGCATCCAATCAAAAACTCCAACAAACAAAAAATGCATTCCGCCTTTGAATCCACTAACAACTGTACACATTTATCAGCGACATGAAACACGGTTACATTTCAATGTACACTTTTGCCGGTACACGGTCCACGTTTTCGCTCGTAAAACAAACAGTTAATCTTTCCACAGAAACAAAAATTCCCTTTGTTAACGACATTCGAGATTAAAAACGCTATGTACACATTTGTCGAATGAAATTTTATAGGAGTCCCGCGGCCGGGATTGGTAACTTGAATAAATAACAAAATGGCGGATGTTTAGTTGTCATGTGGACAGGTTGCACGCACTGTCGGAATCGGCGTCGAGTTCTTCTTCGACGAGGAATTCTGGGTATCCCAGGGCTAGAACGTCCTGTCTCGATAGTTCTTGGAGGTAAGGGTAGAACGATATCAATCGGTACTGGCTGATGCACTCCACCACCCAGTCGTGGACGATCGGCACTGCTCGGGCTTTTTGGTACCATTCTACTGGAAAAAAGAAATTCAAGCTATGGCTAATAAATTTTGCAACTTTGGTATTCTTTACAATTTTTTAAATTTGTTATTTTCTGAATATTTGTTACTTTGGTTACTTGGGACTATGTTGAGTATTTGGAATATTGAGGATTCTATTTTTAGACTAAACAGTTTACTCCACATATTTAGCCATTTTCCAAAAACTCACCGATAATCTCGTAATCGTGAACGTCCGATTGTATCACGATAATCTTCAGCTTCGATTTTTCGCCGGTTAAAGCATCCAGAGAGTCGACTACCCTAGCACCGGTGGCTCGTAGGAGATCCTGAAGGAGAATGTATTTCTAAAGCTGTACAACTTGGCGGTGATTCAAGTTTAAATAGCGCGGCATTGGTTCGAAAACGTAAATAAAATACATTGCTTGAATACTGAGGCTTCTTTAAGAGCTATTCAATCCTATCAGGATCAGTGATCCTAAATCTTAGCTACACTTTATTTTATATGTGGGTTGTGGTTTTGTACTTTCAGTACGTGTGTGAACATATGTTATACATATTACATATGTAACATATACAAAATGTTCTATTAATCTCAATTAGGTTAGGTTTATACATATACAAAGGAATATGTAAAAATATATCAAGGTTAGGTTGATATTTAAAACTTCTAATGTGACTTGGAAAAATTGGACAATTAAAAATTAACAATAGTCTCACTACTTAATTATCAAATCACTATCAAACTCCAGTATTCAATTTCTAGGTATAAATGAAAAACTTTAATCTACCGCGAAGAGACAATAACAGTATACATTCTTTTATGAACCACACTTATAATAAACACCTACAGAAACAATGAAATGTACAGTGAAACTAAAGATAAAGTCAAACAAAGCAGCGTACGTATCCATCACCCCACCTCTTCAAATACTCTCGTATGGTAACAAGAACACGGGAAAAATTAAAATACAACTCAGCTTGTATTCCCAGCAAACAACGTGCAACATTTTGCATGTAAAATACGCATTTAAAATTCAGATCAGCTATCCACATAAAAACGTGTCGAAGAAACTTTACCCTGTACTGATCGACGGAAACGTCGACGTAAGGTCCTATACACAAGAAAACGAATCCCTCGAACAAATCCCTTTTCCTCAGCCTCGAATTCCGAGGTCCTGCCTCCAAGGTGCCGCAATCTACCGCCTCGTAACGTTCCTCGTCCACCAATTTCTTCTCCTTCAACGAGTCTACCACCCACTGGTAGCCTACGATCCACTTCCGGTGCGCGATCCCTTGCAAATACTTCAACGTTTTATTCGCTCCGTTGTTCTCGTCGTCTACTCTCACGATCACGTGAGTCACCTGCTCGTCGAACTGAGTCAAATATCTGGCGTTCACCAGTTGTGCCAACCTTTTCACCTGATTAACCTGAACGACGACCAAACCGCTGCACACGAAACACAGTCTCGGTTTATCGCAGTTATTTGTCGTTTGATCCCTCAGGCGTCTCAGCGATTCGTTCTTCGTTGTTTGTTTTATGGAGCTGGCTTTCTTTGATGGCTGTTGAGATTTTGGAGTGCTTTGGTAGAGAGGATGAAGACTCCTCTTGCTGCACGGGGTACTGGCTATGGTGCTCCTTCCGGTTACCGAGGATGGTGTTCTTAAATGTTTATCGTTGATGTTTGTGGTTGATGAAGCTGCCGTGGTTTCTCGATAGGCGTTAAGGTGAGCACTGTAAATATTTTAAAATGATGAGTTTTCAAAGTGTAGTTAAACTTATATATTCTGTAGGTTCAGTAGACTGTGCAGGAGACTCTCGTTATACCGCCACATCGCTTAAACCCTCTCCATCCTTAAAAGCTCACAATATAAATAAACTACCTTTCAGAATTCGTGAGACACACTAATAACAGGGTTTAAACGAGTCCCGCCTGCGGCAATATAACGAGAGTCTTCTCTACTATCAATTGACGAAATAAACAATGACGTGAGCTAGAAAATGGTTTGTGAAAGAATGGAAGCACCGAAAGGGTCGTTTTACTTACTTCTTTGTCTTTGTGTCAGGAGTGTTCTCGACAATGTCGTCTTCTTCGGCTGAGTGTTCGTTGTCCTGGATATTTCAAAGCAAAGCGAGTCTTTGAGAATGCTTATCCAGAAAGATAAGGATGCTCGTTTTTGTTTATCTCATAAGCAGTCGAACAGGGACGATAATACGGACTATCATAAATGCGGATATCAAGTATAATTGTTGAAACCGGTGCAATTATAGACTTAAATGTCAATCGGCTAATCAAATTTTCATGAGTTTTACGAGCTATTTGATCTATTACGGACGCGTTTGAGGCAATTATACGGAATCGAGGAAACGAAGTAAATTGGCAATAAACGGATTGAGTTATTAGAATTTCATGGAGGAAATTACCGTGGGAGCTATTGTCATGTAAAAGAGATAAACCGCAGATTCCATAACTATCATAAAAGCTTTTCGTTCCTAGCAATTTCTATGTTTGGAATTTTTAAAATTATTGTAGGTGTAAATTTCAAAAAATAATTTACGTTCAGAGCCCCTGGCGCAGGAAAATATCGGTTGTCCTCGAAATTTGCAACAAGCGCAACAAAAATTATGCAAATGATACATGAAGTGTACGAAAAATGAAATATTCGACATAACAAACAAAAATAGACCGAAAATAAAAATAAAAGAAGCAGACCTTATTCTTTTGGGGGGTCTTTTCCTGTCCCTTGAACTCGAAAAGAGGTCTGCCAAATACGTCGGCCTCAAAGTGCTTGATCTGCAATTCATGTTGCGTGATGTCCATAAGCGAGTCCTGTTCATAATCCGCATCCTTCATCAGCGCGTCATCGTTCGCGCGACGCTGCAATCCATCAGCGTGTTTCTCATTATTGGAAGTCATAGCATTACGTCTAGATGATTTATCGACTTCACTGTTCCTCCTAGATTTATCACCATGTGGCTCAGATGGTTTCACTCCTTCGATCCTCTCAGCGACCTGATCGAAATCGTCGATAAAGGTGACCTCGTTATCACTGACGATTTGGGACAGCCTTCCACCTTTATACTTATTCTTATCCGAACCGTTCGATCGATGCGCAAGCATGACGTCTTTGTTCAACGGACGGAAGCTGGAACTTCCGGTGGGTTCATTATCTTCCACTCGCTTCGCAGGTTTAATCCCCTGCGCTTCCAGACACTCGTCAAACGCGTTAGTGTCGAAGTCCAGATCATCGTTCAAATTCTCTATCATCATCACCTCCTCAGGGTCCACTTTCTGCACAATCTCCTCGTTCCGAGGTGTCGCGGCGTTGTTCCGAATGTACTGGATCCTGTCGATGGTGGCTGCGAAATCTGGCGAGTCCTGGTCCATCTGGACCACTCTGCTCGGCTCCTGGGATACCAAGTTGGAAGCGGCATTAGACACCTGTCTGGGTTGACTCTTGTTACCCGCGCTGAAATTGAAGGAACAAGACTCCGCAGGACGTCTGTATCCTTCCTGACGGTTCGGTACAGAAGGTTGGTTCGGCTTGTTTGTATTCCTGTCCATGTTCGGATCATCGCACCAGTTCTTTACGATGGTCCTTAGGTCCACCTCCTGGGACGGAGGAGATTGAATTCTTTTCCGTTTGGACGGAGGCGACTGAAGCTCCTTATTTAGGCAAACAAAGTTAGGGGACTCCGTGTCTGAGCTGACTACAGGCAATATTTTTCTGTGCTTCTTCTGTTTCACGTTCCTTCCGATGTCCCCGTCTGAATCTGAGCTGACTGACATGGTGTCCACACACCGGGCGCTGGTCTTTGACAGCGGGACATTTTCATTCTTACTGCTACCTGTTCCTTTGTCAGAGTTCCTGATGCAAGTCGTCCTCGAAGAGAAGCTGTGATCCGAGTCGTAGCCGGCCTCATTGACTAGGGACATGTTCCTCATCCTCAGTATGTTTTTATCGATCCATCCTGTCTCCTTTGGTCTCTTCCTCTTCGAGGCTGAATCGCAAGTTGAATCCGTGTCGGAACTCGCGGATGCCTGCTGGGACCTGCGGATGAGGGCTCTAGAATGCGCTCCCTTCACCTCAAAGTCCTTCTGATTAGAGATTACAACCGATTCGGCGTGGCTGTACTTCGAGGTCTTCGTAACACAATTGCTTGGTGATTCGAAGGGCAGATACCTCATCTGTGAAACGTTTGAAGGGGACTTTAAATGAACCGGGCTTTTAGGCATTGAGTTCTCGGGAGCCTTCGTGGCTTCTTCCTTTCCGTCCTCATCAAGGGACACGAACACCACATCCATCGATTCAGCTACATTATCCTTTTTTTCCATATCCAAACATACGACATCTTCCGTGTCCTTAGCCTTCGGAAGGGATTGAGCTTTCTGTACGTCTTCATGTTTATCCAACGACGAATTGTTCACATTGATTAATAAATTATTGCCGAAAGCGTTTTCCAGACTGTCCGACACAGCAAAACATTGAGTATCCCAATAGTCCACAAGGTTACACGGCTTGAATTCAGGATAGTTGCTACCTACGTACTTTCTGGGTCTAGTGGACCCCAGGTAGAAAAATCTAACGCGTTTCTTCCTGTGTTTGAAGACCTTGCCCAGCTTTTTAAACTTCACCATAGATACATCTCCTATGTCTTTCATTTTACTTGAAGTAGGCCTAACTCGTCTAACATTCTCCATAGTCTCATCTTTGTCTCCAAAACTATTTGCAGCATTGTACACATCGACACTCGCATCCATCTGTAGGTTCAAATCGCGTTTGGCCGCCTGCAGTCGCGAGATGTAATCCGAGCTTGAAGAATCGTTCGGTTTAGGTTCCATGTTGTGTCTGGCCAAAGACAATCGACCTCGACTCTTCGCAGACTGACATTTAGACGCCGAGTCGTTGGTGGTATCGCACAGCGATTGATCATGCTTATCAGCGGGCAATTTCGTCGGGGTCGTTTGGTCGGGCATCTCCGATCGATCGCCAGGCGGAGTGCTCGACAGATTGCGTCGTTTCTTCAGAGGCAGCGAGTTATCCATTTGATTTCTATTGTCAGTCGCGTCGTTGTCGATTGTCATCGGCGGATCTACGTTCTCCGAGACGCCGATGATATCGTTCATTTGACGGTTGTTCAACTTCTTTATACGCACTTGTTCGCCCCTTTCTAACTCGATGAAAGAGGTTTCCCCTAGAATCTGAACCTCGTCAGAGTTCTCCGCAGGTTTCACGCGACTGTTTTCAGTTGAACTCTCGTTAAGGTTGCAACGTTTGGACACATCGTTTGCGGGCGTGTAAGATCTCCTCTCGTTTCTATTCATACTCTTCTCGAGGCTTTTCCTCCTTTCTTGCACATTTGTCAGGTTACGTCGATCATCGATACTCCTGGCGATGTTTGTGGATGCTTCAGGGTCTTTACGACTCTCGCATCTCAGTGAATCCTTTTCCTTCGACATCAGTCGATCCCTGGCGAGTTTAGAGACGCCTAAGGACACGTTTGATTCCTTTTCTCTTCTCTCGTTCCTCCCCTTTCCTTCCTCCCCAGCTTCCTCATACGACCGCGATTTGCTGACATTCAAAGACTTCAGTTTCTTCTTCTTTGTTCTCATCTCTTTACCAAACCGCGCGACTGATGACCAATTCTTCTTCATGGCGGGTAACATGTCGCTGGGCGACGTCCTCTGAACGTCGTTCCTTTCCTTATATTCTTCCTTGTGCCTCGTTATCCCTGACGTACTGGGTCTTGGATTATCTGGGTCCTCCAGTATTACCGTCTTCGAACCGTCACTCCCCGTTTCATCACCCTTCGCGTTGTTTGGCAACGCCCTCAAAGGACTTTGAAGCTGTTGCACGCCCTCGACCTCGTAATCAGACAGCTTGTTGTCCTTGCAGTTCTGCGACACGGAGACGGTCAATGTATCGTCCAGATTGCAGTCGACGAGCTCTTCAGGAACGATCTTGTCAGGATCGACCAAAGCCTCGCTACTTGGCAGCGTGTTTAACCAACTGTGCACCTTGGAATTCTTATCGTCCACATCCTCGTTCTGATTCCTCGCAGTGTCGCTGGACAAAGGCTCGACTCCGGACATGCTGTACTTCGTCAAGTAGTCCCTGATGTCACTGTTCCCTGAATCCTGCTTCTTACTCTCCCTTTTCTTCCGTGGCGTGCTCGGAGGAGTATCGTCGCGGTCCTTTATCGTTACAACGTTGGAATTACATTTGAAGCTTTCTTCGAGGCTGCGGTCCAAGTGAGGGTGTACTGTAAAAGTTTCGTTTCTTGAATATCTTTTGTTACAATAATTTATTGAAAAAATTCTTCTTTCTTTTATTTCGGTCTTTGAGATGAAATTTGAAAAGGGCGGATGAATAAAATATTTTCTGATTAAATTGACGGAGATCGGTTTTCAATTTTTCGCTCGATCGACCCGACTTCGCTGGAGTCTCAAGTATTTGCGCGGGAGAATATTTTATTTGAAACTCTTACATAGAGAGCTATAGTGGATCCTTTTTTCGCTCGTCAAGTGTCCATCCGCGGTTAGTTTCAAGAAGTTTTATTTGGTTTCATGGAAATGCTCGCGCGTGCTTCAGACTGCGGCCACGAGAATGCATTTGGGGAAAAAGTCGGAGTCGAGAGTTAGCCATAGAGAAGAACATCAGGAAATTGACCTATACGTTGCACTTCTGTGTATTATGAAAGAAGAGACCTTCAAGTTGCATTTGTTCGATTATTTTCTTCGGTATTTGCGGGTTTTATTCGTATGCACCTGAACGTGATCGAAATTGCTTACTGATTTTGCATTAACAAAAATTATGAGGTTTGTAATTGAACAAACTTGTAATTTGTGGATGAAGATTCTTATTTTTATTCAAGTTTTGTAATCACTTTTTGAATTCATTTTCTCTTGAAATGAAAAACAAGAGAAGAAATTTGTAATAAAAAAAATATTTTTATTTTCAATTATTTTTTTTCTGTCAGAATAAAAAAAATAAAAGAGAGAAAATTTATAATTGGAAATAAATTAAAAATGAAAAAATCTAAAAAGAGATACAATAACAAAAGTAATATGATTTTTAATCAATAAAGGCATGTAATGTAAATATTTGAGTAAAAATGATTTATTTTGTTTTTTGGATAAAAATTTTATTTCTGTTTTAACGAAAAAAGAATGAAACCATAAAACTTTTTATACATAGAAGTGAGTCGGTTTTAAAAGTATCCTTGACAGCAACATATCGGAAACGGAAACGCTTGATATTTCCAACAAGCGATATTGAAAAATATGAACGAATACGCGCAATAAATAACATTTAATAAAGATGGTTGGACAATAAATTGAATAAAATAGTGGCTGTAGTTTATAGTAGTTGGTTACATGAAATAACAAATTTTTGGATTTTTTTGAATGAGATGGAATTTTTGAATTTGAAAGGATTCTAATTTAGAAATTTCAAGGATCATAAATTCCAAAATTTAGAAATTTCAAGGATCACAAATTCCAAAATTTAGAAATTTCAAAAATCACAAATTCCAAGATTTAGAAATTTCCAAAATCACAAATTCCAAAATTTAGAAATTTCAAAAATCACAAATTTCAGAATTTAGAAATTTCAAAGATCACAAATTCCAAGATTTAGAAATTTCCAAAATCACAAATTCCAAAATTTAGAAATTCAAAAATTCCAAAAATCACGAATTCCAAAATACAAAAATTTCCAAGTAAATTCTCAAATTCTCAACTAACAAAATTCTGCAATTTATCTGGAGGCCAAAAATCATGAATTCCAAAATACAAAAATTTCTAAGCAAATCCTCAAATTCTCAACTAACAAAATTCTGCAATTTATCTAGAGGCCAAAAATAAATCTGATACAGCACTTTCTATATCTCTCACCCCAAAATATTGCACCAAAAAACAGTGCACAGATTGCACAGTACAATATTTCTAAGAGAAAAGAAAAAGAAATGATAAAAACAGTACGGTAAAGGATGCGTTAAACGTTTTGTGAAGATTCGAATCGTGGTGGAAAACGATACAGATGTTACGAGTTGCTAAAAAATTGACGATTCGAATGCCTTCGAAGAAACAGCGGAGCCTCGAAGAACAGTGAAACTTAAATTTTTGAAACAGCAGCTTCTTCACTCGGGGGAACGAATAGCTGACCCCGAACATGATGTTGTGGCAGATGCACCGCTGCTCTACCTTTAAAGCTTCATGTTTTTCTTATCGAACGGAGAAAAAGTTTATAGGGGGAAAAATGTTAGTTCCCTTCAAATCTATTGCTCCGGTGCAAGCCGGAAATTTATTGCTCTCGAGATACCAACATTCGTTTTCTATTTAGAATTCCTTTGGCGTTCTACCGCCATTTTGTGGGAGATTTAATTGAAAATAGTATAAATGAAATTAAACAAATTTTTTTAATTTATTTGAGCTGTTAAATTATTTAAGAAATTAATAATTTTTGTATTAGTTTGTTATTTATAAGTATTGTAGGATTGTTGGATTATTTAGAAAGAATCTCTCGCTATATTGCCACTTTCGTGTGAGCTTCGTACACTGTCTTTCACTATAAATCACTATGGAACACTCAAATATTCTGATTTATTGAAAAATATAGGGAATTTTATATTTTGAAAGAACCTCTCGTTATATTGCCATTTTCATACAAACTTTGTACGTCAACGTTCTCACACTATAATTCACTATAGAACCCTCGAATATTCTGATTCACTCAAAAATATATGGAATTTTATAGTTTGAAATAATCTCTCGCTATATTGCCATTTTCATGCGAACTTTATATACCGGCTCCCCCACACTATAGTTCACTATGGAACACTCGAATACTCTGATTCACTCAAAAATATAGGGAATTTCATAATCTGAAAAGAATCTCTTGCTATATTGCCACTTTCCCACAGACTTTATACACCGGCGCCTCCATATTATAGTTCACCATGGAACACTCAAATACTCTGATTCACTTAAAGTTTATAGGGAATTTTATAATCTGAAAAGGATCTCTCGTTATATTGCCACTTTCGCATAAACTTTATGCACTGGTGCCCCCACACTATAGTTCACTATGGAATGCTCGAATATTCTGATTCACTCAAAAATATAGGAAATTTTTTAATTTGAAAAGAATCTCTCGCTATATTGCCACTTTTCTACAGTCTTTGTACACAGGCGCCCCCTCACTACAGTACACTATAGAATACTCATTTTCAAATTTCTAAGTTTGAGAATTAGCTTGAAAATTTCTAAATATAGAAGTTTGTAAATTTAATAATTTATTAAACTAAAGTTTTCTATGAAAACCTAGAGTCGATGTTATCAGAATCGATGATGTTATTTCGCAAGAATGGTCAGCGTTATACAAAAATACGCGATCAGCATTGATCATATTACGTCAACACCACTATCTACGTGGAAATATACAAGGTCAAGTAGAGCGTAATCGGCAGATCAGAATCGTTAGAGTGGCTATCGCAAGCGTGATAAGAAGTTATGATTACTCACTATTGATGCCGGAATCCTTCTCTACCGCTTCGATCAAGTCTTGCAGCCGATCTATGTACACTTTCATGTCCTCGTCGACAGTAATACTACGTCGTTGAATAGGAGTGTTGCAGAGTGGACACAAAGCACTTTTATTCTGCAATACCGTTTGGATGCATGTGCGACAAAATCGATGCCCACAAGGGGTTTTCACGGGCTGAGATATAGTATGCAGACTGAAAGATAAAAGCAACTAATCCCTTATACACCTGTGCTACGGCTATTGCAAATGGAATAAATTATGTGTACGTTAGGGGACAGTACAATGAGCTTTAGTACATGGATTACAATCTAAGGATAGTAAAATTGCTTGCTCCTATTGCATCTAAAATTAAAATCTTGGGATCACTTCAATTTCTTTCAGCGATGCTTGCATTGAACAAGCAGCTACGCTGGCTGCGTGGAGATTTAGGTGGATGGTAAAGAAATTAGTTCACTGGATGCAAGTATAAGCAGTGATATGATTGGAAAATGTTTAAAGGTTTTATTACATGAAATGTTCCTGCATATTAATGTTTGGGAGGGAAGTAAAGAATGGAAGTTCGTTTAAAAAATATTTGGATGTACAGTATCAGCAATATTAATTCTAATTCGTTTGACAATTGTAATTGTAATTATGTAACATTATGGTAATAGCTTAATAACATAGATCCAGTTTAATACAATTATACAAGTTGAATCGTATCAAATAATGAATTAAATACAATTTATATATTTATTAAATAATGAGTTCAAATTGCTATAAAGATTTTAATGTACATAATAAATAATAAATTAATAAAGTATATAATACTCTTACGATTTTTAATTCATAATTACTTATGCTGTTCATTCGTAAAGATTCAATTATATTTTGCTGATTATGTCATCTAAGTAAGCTTTAACATCAAAAACAAAAAAAACAGCGCTCTACTTAACAAACGTATTTTATGAACTACAACTAAGTTAGTAAATATACTTGTTAATGATGTTCAGTTGATTCTCTAATATACATAATTATTAGGTGATCATAAAACCAAAATAATGAATAAATACAACTTACATTCACAAAATAATAACTTAAAATTCCTTCGAACTTGATAACAAACTCCACAAATGAAATCATAAGATCATCAAATTTAAAAACAATGAATTCCATATACTCATTTTATAGCATATACAACATAGATTCAAAAATAGAAAAACATAAAACATAACCTCTACAATTAAATGAAAGTATAAGATAAAAACATTATTACAAATTGACTTACATAATAAATACTCCAAACTATTAAATATTCTCCATAAAATTTTAAACATTAATTAAAAACTCACCAAATCGTGCACTGCAAACTTGTTTGCATATTTTTAATCGCATCCTTCAATTTACGAGTTGTATCAAAGAGCTGTTCCATCTTTTCTTTTTAATTATTAACGTTACATCACGAACCTTTGCACAGAATCATTAAATTTACATCGCTTTTAGTCAGCGTAACACAACTATGAAAATCAGAGCACAGCATAATGATCATCGCTCACATGGTTGACAACTATTGTCAACTTTACCCGCCTTGTTTTGGGATTTACCCATGAGCCCCTGATGGCGTTGCGATCGATAGGTCGATACTCGACTCTACTGCAATTTATTTAGTTTTTCAAGTTTATAATTAAATTCCACTCAATTATCGCGAACTATTCATCAAATTAGAGCTAACTTTATCAATTTTATATGGGAACAAAAATTTTAAATGTAGTTTTGTTTTATAGTGCGCGTAAGATTATCGATAAATCGTTCATGAACATCGAGTTTGCGACTCTTGACGATAGAGAGCGCTGTTGCGTTTTCCCGCCACTTTTAGCGGGAACGTCACCGCAGGTGGTTACGTAACAGTGACAATTAATTACAAAAATAGTGTAGTGACGCGTGCAATTTTTATTTAAATAATGTTGTGGAGTTTTGTAAAGTTATGGTGCATAGTACAGAGATCAATTTATGGTGAGTTCTTTAATATAAGTGCTAAAACTAGTTTTACTGACGGTTTATTTGACGCATCTATGAGTGACACATTCATGAATTTCGCAATCATAACGTTTGAGAATTTAAAAGCATTAAAATGTAAATTTCTTGAGAAATAAAATTAACAAAAGAGAGTTTACGATTTTATATATATTTTACGTAATGTTATGAATATTATATCGTTATAATTTTTTACGATTCCATTGACACCAAAATGGCGTCCACGCCGCGTTCTCTTATCTCAACTATTTTACAAACATATTATTTTCTTTTACAGAAGCTGTTGTTCCAATGATTAAATTGGCCTTATCGAGTTTCACAAGTGGAAAGGAAAGACGATAGTGCAGCATAACATGAGATTCGCAGAAACGTGCTGTTGATGACGTTATGGGGTTGATTTTCTTTGCCAGTACTTTGTTCCTCTGCTTATGCGGTAAGTCTTAATTTCACACAATTCGTAAGATAAAAGCGCGAAATCCTTTTGATTCGGTGAAGAAGTAATTAAATCGAAAAATTCACGAAAAATATCGGAAATGATCAAGTGCATAACGCCATCTTATAAAATTTTGTTGAACGTCGGAAGGCAAATTAGTTTTAAAGTCTGTTCCTGTGGGACCAATTAAACGGTACTGGACTCGAGTGTGTCCACGCGATAAGAAAGTTTGCGAAACGAATTATCGTTCACGAGTTCATCGGAAGTAAAAATTGTACTCCCGTCAAAAGTTCGTACTTTACAATTCTAAAATTCCTATTAAACACACAGTTAAATTTTATCGAACTCGACAAAACGAACGTCCTCTGTTAATCGAAACGATGAAATATCTTTTATAGAGACGATAAAATTTCGATGTTTTTTTTTTTTAAAACGATATCCCGCTTGATTTATCGAATATTTTCGCAGAATACTTTTTTTCTGGTAGAGATAACGATCGATTTTTCTTTTCGATCGTTTTGATATGATAAAAGGAAATTAATGTTTTTGTGTGACCATCAACAGGTATGCATTTATAGGTGCCGTGAAAATTTCGATGAAGTGTGCGATGTTTCGGGTGAAATTAATTTCATTTCTATAACACTGCAGAATAGATTTTTCTTTTACATATATATACATATGTATAAATATTCTTAGCGGTTCTGCATGCAAATCAACTGGCACTGAGAGATTCAAAGGGCCGGTAAATTTATTCGTGAATTATACCAGCCACCGTCGAAGTAAATGAACCATAATGATCCCCTTGCATGGTGATTTAAATTCTATTCGCAAGAAACTTTCAGGCGATCGACTAAATTTACCGGCAACGAATCGACTGCTCTTGCAGTGATTAAAGGAGCACCAATCCTCGACCACGAATTGCTCTTATACCCTAATTATCCACTGTTGTGTGTACATCTAACGGTTTTTTTTTCTATAAATATTCAATTCCGATCGGTTAAGGATTTGTTCAATTATGCTATTTATATATATCATGATGTCTTTTCTCCTACACAGTTCTGACAATTATTTAAATTATTGAATATTAAGGATTGCAATGAATATTATGAATATTTACTGAATATTATGTCTACGAGATTTTAAACATTTAATTAGGTTTTTAATTTGAGGGATCATGACTGGAAATTTTTTTGAATTAAAATTTTGTTTAACTGATTTTGTATTTTCAGCTGATATTAAATTTTTACTGCTAATTTATCAAATTAATTGTTCTTGAGAATTAGGAGATTGGAAAATTTAGAAATCTGATGAGTTTTGAAGGAATGCTCCTAGGGGTTTCTAGGTATAATTTGGGGTTTATGGATTTATGGATTTGAAAATAGATAATTCATGATTTTAGTGTTCTCTGTGTCACACCTCTAATTTTACACTCCAACACCTCAGCTACAAACCCTAGACGTCCAAATTCTCAAAAAGTTTTCAAATTTCCTCTTTCCAAGTTTCCAACTTTCACGCCACACCACTTTTCCTACACAAGTTCTTACCAGGCAGAACTAACACCAGTAAAGTAAAGACATTCATCATATATCTGTCAACACAATCAATATTTGGTGTTCGAAAACCGTGAGGTGTGCAGACGATCAGTCACCGACTCCAGATCTCGAGTACCCTTGTCGATATCCTTGCTCCCAAGTGCTCGGCAACGAATTTGACGATGGTCTGTTACTTTTTCACGCTGCTTTGGATAAAAAAGCGGCTGGATTGCCGTTGCCACAGGGCGGTGGTGGGGCGGGGGTCCATGGACAGCCGCAGGCTGGCTCG